ACATACAAAAATTGTAAAAAATGTTACTTTAGTGTATGTACCATATTTATATTGCATGTACTAAAAACGGTTATTTCAATATTACAAACATACACTCCAATTTTATTTATATGTATGTAAATATTTTTATTTTTATTTGACATTTCTTATTAATATAAATAAGAAATGTCAAATATGTGCACCGCCAACAATCTTTCTCTGCACCACTCATGGTTGCCTGGTAGATAACTCCGCAAGGTATTAAGTCCGCCATATGTACACATTGTTTTTGTGCATTAAAGTTAAATAAACAAATAATTTATTGCCATATTTTACAAATAATACACAAAAAATATAAAAAATACCTACAATTTTTTTTTATAACACATGGGACAAACGAGCATACGGCCTACCTGATGGTAAGTGATTACCGCCGCTCATAAGCACCCGCAAGACCAGGGGAATTGCAAGTGCGTTTTGTCTGCCTCTTAGAAAGTAATTGGCTCTTTTCTTGAAGGTTTCATTATAGCAATAGGAGCTACCTCAGCTGTTGCTGATGTAGATACAACCTCAATGAGGTTGTACTCAGATATTTTTATACTCAGATATTTTTATGCTCAGACATTTTTATACTGAGATATTTTTATACTCAGACATTTTTATGCTCAGACATTTTTATACTGAGATATTTTTATACTCAGACATTTTTATGCTCAGACTCAGACATTTTTATGCTCAGACATTTTTATACTGATATATTTTTATACTCAGACATTTTTATGCTCAGACATTTTTATACTGAGATATTTTTATACTCAGACATTTTTATACTCAGACATTTTTCATACTGAGATATTTTTATACTCAGACATTGTGATGCTCAGACATTTTTATCCTGAGATATTTTTATACTCAGACATTTTTATGCTCAGACATTTTTATACTGAGATATTTTTATACTCAGACATTTTTATGCTGAGACATTTTTATACTGAGATATTTTTATACTCAGACATTTTTATGCTCAGACATTTTTATACTGAGATATTTTTATACTCAGACATTTTTATGCTCAGACATTTTTATACTGAGATATTTTTATACTCAGACATTTTTATGCTCAGACATTTTTATACTGAGATATTTTTATACTCAGACATTTTTATGCTCAGACATTTTTATACTGAGATATTTTTATACTCAGATATTTTTATACTCAGATGTTTTCATACTGAGACATTTTTATACTCAGACATTTTTATACTCAGATATTTTTATACTCAGATATTTTGAATTGAATTGTTTTTTTTATGCAGTCGGTACTAGTGATCGACTCAAGTGCAATGCAGCGTTGTTATTGCAACAAGTTAATTTATGCGGAGAGCTGGTATCGATTCATCGAACCTTGTTCCTTGTCGCATTATATTGTTATTCATACACATTGTACTTGCATACAATTTATATATACATAACATGACCAACAATATGCTCTGATATGTGTTGAATATTGGACAAGTTATACACATTGAGGTATTATATATTGGACAAGTCATGTTATACAGATTAATGTATTAGGTATTAGAGAAGGAGTTAATGTTTTTTATTTCGTACAATATTGGGCAAGTCGTGTTATAGACATTGAGGTATTATATGTTAGAGCAAGTGTGAATATATTTTATTTTGTATAATACTAGCTACTCACCCCGGTTTCGACCGGTTTACATATATTATACATACCTTCCTCTTGAATCACTCTATCTATTTAAAAAAAACGCTTCAAAATCCGTTGCATAGTTTTAAAGATTTAAGGATATATAGGGACGGACAGACAGCGATAGCGACTTTGTTTTGTACTATGTAGTGATTGTACAAGTCATTATACACATTGAGGTATTAAGTATTAGAGAAAGTGTCAAATTGTTTATTTTGTACGATATTGGGCAAATCGTGTTATGGACATTGAGCTATTTTAAGTATTAAATAGAAAATGATATAAAGTAATAATAAAAGTAATGATCGCCATTTTATTATTACTTTTCTATTTACTGTTTTTTTTTTAAGATTCTTTTGTATCCACAATAAAATTAAAAAAAAAATTCAATATAAAATATAGTCTGTCCTATGTATAAGTTATATTAGTGTAAAGTTTAATCAAAATCCGTTCAGTAGTTTTTGCGTGAAAGAGTAACAAACATCCATACTTACAAACTTTCACGTTTATAACATTAATAACATTGATGCAAACATACAAATACAATTTTTTCTCTTTATAATAGTAGAGATATAGAACTGGGGAAATTCAACGAGATGGTCCTCTGTCAAACAACGGTCAGCCGTAATTACTTCATTTTCTAAATCTCACTGTTGCAAACTCATAACACATTTATATATGTTTATTTTTCTATCAATTTTGAATGTACTTTCTGTTCAGGCAAAAGTGATAATTATGTCATATTTTTATTGTCACTATTGGCTACTGTTTGTACACATATCTTCATTACAAGTATTTACAATTTTCTATACATTGTTTGATATATCATATACTAGCTGTTTCCGCGACTCCGTGCGCGTGGAATTGAAATTTATTTTTCTAAAATATAAGTAGCCTAAGTAACTTCTTATTACATCAGCTACCTGCCAAAAAAAGTCCCGTCAAAATCGGTCCAGCCATTTCGGAGATTAGCCGGAACAAACAAACCGACAGACAGACAAAAATTGTTAAAAATGTCATTTTGGTGTTTATATTCATATGCATGTAGTAAAAAACGGTTATTTCAATATTACAATACACACACATAGACACTCCAATTTTATTTATATGTATAGACAAAGTACATTCATTCGATCGCCCACACTTACATTGTGAACGAAGATTATTATTCAATACAAACATACAAATAAATTTTTTCCTATATATATATATATATATATATATATATATATATATATATATATATATATATATATATATATATATATATATATATATATATATATATATATATATATAGTAGAGACATTGAACTGGGTAAATTAAACGAGATAGTCCTCTCTCTTCAACAACGGTTACCCGTAATTACTTCATTTTCTAAATCTCACCTTGTTAACGAAGTGCAAGGTGCACTCCGGGTTTATCCCTCGGGAATCGCCACTTGGAGGGCTACGTGACGTCTTCACCTCAGTTTTTATTATTACTGCCCACCCCCCTAATGTTAGGGGTGTGGTAAGTGGCTTGTAATTGTATGGGAGAACTTAGATTAGCTTTTTAATTCGGTGGATTTCCTGTGTCGAAATGACGCGTAATTTTTTTAGGTTTATCGAACCCAATTTTGTATATGAGAAAGATTAGATGTTTTTTATTAGAGATAAAAATGTTTAATCTAATAATAAAAGGATATTATATGTTTTTTATTAGAAGCATAAATGTCTAATATAGTAATAATTAATAAATAAATACTAGCTAGTCGGTAAAACGTTGTTTTGCCAAATATAAATAAATAAATTAAAGTACTAATATCCTTATTATAAAAAGGGGTTGGTGATAGAAAAGTGAAAATTATAAAAAAACGAAAAAAAAATGTCAAAAAAAAATGTTAATTTTGGGTTGGTGCATACTTATCATTTAGGAGTATGAACAATACTACCAACCAACATATAAAATTTCATCAAAAGCGGTTAATTTGTTTCGGAGAACTATAGCACCAAAAGAACTTAGAACGAGTAAATTTTTAACTAAATAAGTTAGAAATTTTATTTATTTTAATTAAAAATGCAGTCAAATTCCATGGAGTTAAAACAACTCTATACTAATACAGTTAACATAATATTACATATGAAGAGGTAAAGTTTGTGAGATTGCAGAGGGTAATCTAAGGATCTACTGAGCCGATATTGAGAATTCTTTTAGTGTTACATAGTCCAATTATCAGGGAATGTTATAACATCGCGCTATGACTAATAGGAACCGAGCTGCAATGAAAAATGTAGCTAAAACGGGGAAAATGTGTCGCGGACTAAGTTGCATGAGTCAGCTAGTCTATACATATAAATAAAATTGGAGTGTCTGTTTGTAATATTGAAATAACCGATTTTTACTACAAGCATATTAATATAAATACCGTACATACACCAAAATAACATTTTTTACAATTTTTGTCTGTCTGTCTATCTGTTTGTTCCGTCTAATCTCTAAAATGGCTGGACCGATTTTGACGGGACTTTTTTTCGCAGGTAGCTGATGTAATAAGGAGTAACTTAGTCTACTTTTATTTTAGAATAATATTTTTTTCAATAAAGGTAAATTCCACACGGATGAAGTCGCTGGTACAGCTGGTGAGCAATAAAATCATGTACGTGAACGACTAACATTATGCATGTTAGTCAGTTACTGAACTGTATCAGTGTATGCAGTCTTATTAATATTATAAAAACGAAATTTTGTGAATATATATAGATAGATGCATGGATGGATGGTTTTACTTATTTTTTACTTCTATAGTGGCAAACAAGCATACGGCCCATCTGATGGTAAATCGTTACCGTAGCATATGGACGCCTGAAACACCGTGTAATGTGTCATGCAAAAACTGTTGAACGGCTTTTAGTGAAACTTTTCAGTAATATAGCTTAGACTTCAGAATAATAGATAGGCTATAAATTTCATTAATAAAAATAGCAACACACAAGTTTCTTGCTCATTCTTCTTATGATGAGTCTGCGTTCCAAATGAGTGGTAGAAAAAAAAAATGTGACTATTAAAAAGTGCTTATATTAAGTTTATTTAAATAAAGATTATTTCTATTCTATTCTATTCTATTCATGTGGGTGAAATGGAGCGTACAGCTAGTATAAAAAAAATGTAACAACATTTTAATAGAACCATCTTCAAATTTTTAACCCCATAAACCGAAAATCCAGTCTACTTATAGCTTAAAATACGGATATCACATAATAAAGTGTCCCAAACCTGATGTGTAAATTTCGGGACACGGCAGCTATAAATACGGTGTCCATTTTTCAAGGGAACAGCGGATAAAGGATAAAGAGGGAGTGGGGTGGCCATAAATTCAGAAGCGAGATTCTTGTACACGTCACTTTGAAATAAAGTTGTTGCTGCTTAGAATAAAGCCTACGTTGAGAGCACTTGGATGTATACGACAGGGTTATTGCTTTGGAGCGGGTATGTTTTTTTATACTACTATCGTATCAAATAAGCATACGGCCCATCTGATGGTAAATGGTTATCGTAGCCTATGGACGCCTGAAACACCCACGATGTTACGTGCGCGTTGCTGATCCTAAAGAATGGTTGACATTGCTCTTAAAATATTATTACAGCATCCAAAATGTATGGCAGATAACATATTGATATCTGTAATTTCACACACTATCTTACTTCAGTTTTCGCAAGCAACTTTCTGTTTTAGTATATATGTTACTAGTATTACTAATATTATGAACGCGAAAGTTTGTAAGTATGGATGGATGTTTGTTACTCTTTCATGCAAAAACTACTTAACGGATTTTGATGAAACTTTACAGTAATGTATAGTATACATCAGAATAACACAGGCTATAAATTTCATGTGAGTGAAACTACGAGCACAGTTGTTATTATAGTGAAATGAGTTTTAATACGAATAGTTTATGGTAAATAAAAGTATCGCTTTCGGACAATCTAATGAGGGTAGTTGAACAAACTGCCGGCACATGTCTACATTGGCACTCGCTGTTACTACAGACAGCTCGTGACCACGGCTAATGTAATATAGTCTATACGTCGAGAGAGGTACATACAGGTATCTTTATTTCCTCATCTCAGCCCGGAAGACCTCCACTGCTGAACCAAGGCGTCCCCCAAAGATTTCCACGACGACCTTTATTTACCATAAAATTATTCTTGTTAAAACCCGTATATATATTAATAATATATTTAACGTTTTTTTTAACAATTCACATAGCGTCATCTTGTAATCTAAGCAGAACTTGTGTTAGGAGCAATAAGCAACTGTTAGATTAAATACATTTCTTTGTAAATATACATACATAATATACATAGAAAACATATAGAGCAATACAAACAATCATACTCATGAATACTAATGTTTGTACCGTGCAAGAAATCGAATCCACGACTATTGGAAGTAAGGCGGTGTGCAAAATCTTCTCCAGAATAATAACACAAGAGATACGATAGACTGATTTCAGTTTTTTTTTTAATTTTGTGCTATTATTCGGTTCTAAAGAGATCTTTAGCACTGCGACCTGCATAGATCTATTCTGGTCGCTCTCAGGGACGAGAATTGAAGGATATTCTTAAGAGCGATGGGTTTTATCTCTCAGGATAGAGTATGTATTCTCCAAAGGAGATATTTTATTTATACTTCATTAGGCTACAACCATATATGATGTGTAGTGGGCGCTTCCTTCTCCAAAATCCTTTTTGGCAACTTTGCAATGTTTTTTTTTTTAATTTGGAGTAACCAGTGAGGACCCTAGTCATCATGCATATATTGTTGTCTCCAGCCATAGGCGATTCTTTGGGATATCTTGAAGTTTTTAATCTCACAGTACTCGTTCACCTACCTCGGGGTGGGCGCGTTTCCAAGAGGGTTTTGTCCAAGTAAAAAAAAAGGTGCCTAGTGTTTGGTATTCAAATTACAAAAAAATAGCTTTCACAATGTTTTCCGTTCCAACATCGTGTTACGTTCCATTCTAACATGTTTACGCGTATGAGACAGTCGACAAAAAGCGAACTTTATGATAAATTACCGCGTAATACACTGGATTACCGTAATAAATGGTCTGCGGATACGGTCTTAAGACATCCATCCGTGTTTTAATGTTTATGTCTGTTCGTTAATCTATCAAAATGTAGCAAAACGTTTCACTGAGGTTTTTAGACAATATTATAAAGGTACATTTAGCATGCGTGAGAAAGAGAAGGAACATTATGTCGTCTCTAGCGCACACTGCTGGCGTCATGCGGGCTGTAGGCTGTAAACGGCGAGTGAGAACAGTGGTGTCTGTCTCTGAACCGATAATTTGGAAGATATACAGTACAAATTGTAATAATTTAGGTTATTTTTTAAATGACAACAAATTGATGACTCACCTGATGGAAAGATGTCATATTTACCTATATACATATATCATGATTTTGTACAAATATTATTTATATATTATTATTCAGCTATAGCAAGAAAGTAGAGCGCCACTGAGTTAAGCCGTGGTCTCCACGGCTTAAGTCAGTGGCTAAACACAGCGCCATATTTACCACACTACCTTTCTAGAATGTGAGGAAATATCTGTGTCTGTAGTTAGTCTATGGCACTCCTACATCACGTTTATCGATAGATGATTGAGCAATAGCGACCAATGGGGAGATAATACATTTGAGGGGACACTTGGGGTCTTAACGATCGGTGAGTGAACAACTACCACCATCGTGAGCTAATATAAATCGTACGTAAATAATAACATAGATATCACAACATATATTATAATATATATCCCTGAATTTTATATCCAATAAAGTATAATTAAAAATTAGGAAAATCACTGAATCTTACCAAGTTTTGTTTATTTTTATTGATTTCTCAATATTTCAGCAATGTTACCGCAGCAATGTTAACCGTCAGGATCATCGATAAACTGAACAGCAGGTAAAAATATAGATATATAAGATTATGGGCAGATATATCCCTCTATCTTTGCATATCGGGAATCTGCTGAAATATCGGGAACGCAATAATAGTGAAGAAATTTTGTAAGAAACAATTAAAACAATTGTAAACAATTGTAAGTAGCTTTGACGTGGTCTAGTGTTTTGAGTAGTCATCCTCACTAAAATGTCCAGACTTATGGCGGCGTGGTGGGCCGGGTCATTGGGCTCCCTAAAATATGGTCGAGCGCAGTGATGGCTGGCTCATCCGTCATACTCGTGAACGGGTGCTGCTTGTAGGGACTGGTCTGCTCTAATCACTATGACTGATTTCATCTTATTAATTGTTTAACCAGTTGGTTATATATTCAATATTTTTTCTATTTCAGTATTTAATTGAATTAGTGCTAATTGGTGGTTTGTATTCACACACTTAAACTTAAAAATGTAAAGTAATAATAAAATTATTTAAAAGAGCAACACACAAGTTTCTTGCTCGTTCTTCTTGTGTTGAGACAGCTTTCCGAACGAGCGGTAGATTAAAAAAAATGTAATGACTATTCAAAAGTGCTTCAATGTAAGTTTATTTGAATAAATGATTTTCTATTCTATTCTAGAAAACGGAATATGATCCCGTGTCTTTTCTCAATTTGAAATAATCTATGTAGATATATCTATCAGTCTAGTACCCATAAAAAGGTGAGTTAAGTCTAGGACTAGATGGCGCTGTGTAAATTGTCCTGGCTAATTATTATTATTGTTATAAAACAGACATATATTTCTGTATGTAAATGTACGTTCACTTCAGTAGAATCTACCATTTCCGGAGAAACGCTAAGACAGGCTGAGAACTCAGCGAATTTAATCAGAAAGAATAATAAATTGAGTTTGAAAGTTGGTTAAGTGACTTTTCTAATACAAACAAATATTGTAAGCATAAATAAAGCTGTTTCCCCGCTCTGTGTGTCAGTTTTAATCTGTGCTAGGATTAAGAATATTTTGGGAGTACGAAAAGAAATGTTCAATCTTTCTTTATAAAATTAAGATTATTATTATTGTCACTAGATGACGTTGTTTAATTTTTACAACGCGGTATATTTTTCTTTTCGAGTAACTTATGTAACATAATAATATATAGTAAACAGGACCCCTCTGGTCGACCCCCCATCCAATTCAAACTGGGATCGAAATAATGACGACCAGAGCTAAGGTTCGAATCCCTAGCGATGCCCTCAGACTAAAGTCGTATCCGTCAGGCGAGGAAGGAGGAAGTCCCCATCAGGGTCCATAGTGCTCTTGTAATGAAATATTATTATTAATAATCATAAAAATTTTATTAAGTTAGCAGCAAAATTTTTATAACAGAATATACATATATAAAATAGCTAGAATTATGTCAATCTGTATGTGTTATGTAATATTACACAAAGCATAAGAATAAATTAAAAAAATAACTATATCTCTCCCTCTATGCTCAGTTCACTATATCTCAATAATCGAGGGATGTCCATTTAAGATACAATACTCGATAGAAATTAAATAACAAAGATCAATATATGTGAATTTGAACATAATCGGATTAAACTACTTGACAACTAAAGTTCTACAGCGAGATATGCCAAAAGGAACTCAAAATCTATGGAATTTAATATCAATTTTAAATGCGTGAAATTGGGGATTATTAACAGATGCATTTTTAAGCTGAGATGACATTTTAAGGGTCTAATACCTCATTAATGTAAAGAAGAATGAACGAAGACATCTTAGAGGTCTTTAGAAGATCCCACGACAAAACAGTTCGAATTGTCGATGTCAATACTATTGTAGGGCTGTCAATTTTGGACATGTTAATATTTGATTAAACTAATGATATGATTTAACGATTATTGTTAGTACTAACTTGAAATATATCTTTGATTTATTTTGTTGTCCAAGTCGCTATTATATTTATATACTTTTGCCAATCTTTCTATTTATCTTTTGTTAATGTCGCACAAAATTCTATCGGTTCAGAAATACTATTGCTGGAATGTGATTTCACAGGGTGGAAAATCGTCATTTATCCAGGCGATTAAGATGGTAAATTCTATGGAATTTATATGGTTTGAATTTGTCCACAATCGATAAGGAACTCATTACACATACATTCCAAAATAATGAATAAGTATTATAAACTAATAAATGAATTAACGGAATATGGCTATGTGGTTAATTTAAATGCGGTCGAAGTGGGAGCGAGAAGTATACCAACGAAATCTCTCTACAATCTTCTAAAAGATCTTGTCCTGGCTAGAACTGCAGTAGGTTCTATACTAGAACGTGTATCTAAAGCTGTATTAGCAGGCTCCTACTAGATTTGGCTGGGCAGGGGCAGAAAGGAGCAGTGAAGGTGAGTGCTGACGTACTTCACACCACTAAATCTACATCCGGGTCACAAGGCCCGGGAACTGCCCGGAGTTTTCCTCTCTGGCACGCGATGGACTCAGCACCCGCGCGGTGAATATATAGAATGCTAAGAAGTTCGTCTGAGTATGTATTTTTGCCAGCCCTGTTGAACATTTATTGTCGTCTATCGAAGGGCGACGATCTCCTTTAGAAATTACCCCGACATTGTATGGATTTCATGCACCGTTCGCTTTCAATTATGGGAGACCGCCTCGGGAGCATTTTTTAAATTTCCCAGCGTCTCTTGTATCGGTGGATAGTTTAATCGAGGTGGTACGGCCATATCCGTAAAATATATAAAAGTTAACTTAAGGAAGATTCTGTTTAAAGTTATTTTCAACTCTACAGCACCTATTCTTAGTCAAGCAGCTAGCTTTTTCAACCTACGCCTCATTGTACTCCAATTTCTCCATCACTGATAAAATAACTGACATAAATGTTGTATAGATTGAAAATTCTAAATTTATAAGGTAGGTACAGTCGGCTACAAAAGTTTGTAACCTTGTTAAATAATATACTACGCATTAATAAGTTAACGGTAAAGTTTAAAATAGAACTTAACTGCTTTAATAATTAATCATTACGTATAATAATACAGTTAAATCATAACGAGGCAAAAACTGTCTATTTCTCTGTATTAGATTTCACATAAAATGGCTAGATGGTATTAGGATACTAGATGTATTGGATGGTATTATTTTTTCTTCGACTGGCAACACCGACGACAATTGTCATTTTCAGCTGGCCGTAATAATATATAATAATAATAATAAATTTATAAATGATAGCAATATATAGCAAGAATAAGTTTATTTGCGGACAACGTTATAATTTTAATTTTCATACTGCTTTCTTGATATATGATAGCGTAGCGGCTTTTATATTGATTGCCGCATGCATCCTTATGTAAAGTGCGAATACTGTAACTACCATATAGTAATTTTTGTAGCTGTGACGTGGTCGTGTGGAATGAGTAGTCATGCTCACTAAAATGTCCAGACATGTGGCGGCGTGGTGGGCCGGGTCAATGGGCTCCCTAAAATATGGTCGAGCGCAGTGATGGCTGGCTCATCCGTCACACTCGTGAACGAGTGCTGCTTGTAGGGACTGGTCTGCTCTTATCACTACGACTGATTTAATCTTATTGCATGACATATTTGACCCAAAAAATTAGTGCTTGTTGGTAGTTTGTATTCACACGTTTCGACTTGTAAATGTAAACTTACAAGGATTATTTAAAAGAGCAACACACAAGTTTCTTGCTCGTTCTTCTTGTGATGAGACAGCTTTCCGAACGAGTGGTAGATAAAAAACAAATTGTTATGACTATTCAAAAGTGCTTAAATTAAGTTTATTTGAATAAATGATTTTCTATTCTATTCTATTCTATTCTAGGAATACATGTTTATAAAATATGACATATTTTATAAACATTTAACGACATTGTCGTTAAATGTTTATAAAATATGTCATATTATATTAATATGTCTATTATATATATTATTATTAAGTATATTATATTAGTATGTCATATTATATAATATGTCATATTATATTATATTAATAAAAAGAACCTAATAGTGCTTTAAAAAAAAAGGAAATGTAAAAGTACCTCAGTACCTAATAGATCTTATTTGAAACTATATAAGTGTATAGAATATTTATGAACTTGTTTACTGAAAGAAATAAAAGAAAATATGATAAAGAATGTATATATATGCATAAAAATTATTACAAGCCCAATGAAATAGACTTCTGCAAAATTATACCTAATTCTATAAAATATATTATCGGTTTATTATTATTATTATTACTAGCTGTTCCCGCGACTTCGTCCGCGTGGAATTTAACTTTATTTTTCTGAATTATAAGTAGCCTAAAGAACTAAAAAATATTTTGTTCGTTGAGAAATTTATTCGTTCCATTAGGTACTGTTAGGTTCAAACTAATACATTTACATCCTGCATCATCCCTTATTTTATCCCCATGGGGGTTGAATTTATCAAAATCCTATTTAAGCGAACGTCTTCATCATATTCGTACCAATCTTTAATTTCAGTTCAATAAGTCGAAAATCTAAAAAGATTTATACAAACTTTCATCCCCTATTTTATCTCCTTAGGGGTGGAATTTATCAAAATCATTTCTTAGGGGATGCCTACGTCATAGTAGCTTTATACATGCAAAGTCCAGGCCCGATCGGTTTAAAATTGACAAAGTTTCATACAAACTTTCATCCCCTATTTTATCCCCTTGGGGTTAAAGAATAGAATATAATAGAATAGAAAATCATTTAAGTCATTTAGTTTCAAATAAACTTAATTTAAGCACTTTTGAATAGTCAACATTTTTTTAAATCTACCGCTTATTCGGAAAGCTGTCTCATCACAAGAAGAATAAGCAAGAAACTTGTGTGTTGCTCTTTTAAACAATCCTTGTAAGTTCACATTTTACAAGTCGAAACGTGTGAATACAAACTACCAACCAGCACTAATTTATTTAGGCTCATATATAAAATTAATCAAAATCCTTTCTTTCTTACGTAGGCATCC